AAAGTTTTGACTAAACTAGACATGATACCTTTGTTAAGAAAATGATGCTTTTTTATGATTGATATTTTTCTAAAAATATAACCAACTCCTTACCCTAGAATCTCTTAATCGGTGCTCATTTTAGATTTTTAGTTTCTTTAATACTAGATGGAGACTCCTAAAAGTAATAAATAACCCACATCCGTAAAACACCAAAATTTTTAACCGAGAAAATCTTAATAAATTTTAAAAATCCCATGAAAGTCAATTAGTGAAAGAATGGCGACTCTACTAAGGAATTAGAGTTAGGTCATAGGTTTAGTGTTTTTTTAAAGTTTATCTCTTTTATTTATTTTTTTATTTATACCCAAGTTCTTTATTTCTAATTATTTATTTAATTTCAAGTTATTTACTTTATGTAATTTATTTTTCTTACATTTTAATTTCTATACATATTTAATTTTTTAGTTGAGTTAGATCCACTTACTTTGAACCGTTGCACACGCCATAAAGGAAGCTTACAAAAGCTCTAAACCCAAGTTAAAACCCCATTAAGATTTAGATAAAGAGATTCGGAGGCAAGTATGATAAAAGTCTATCGATGATCGCCTAAACTCTCGTTTGAACTGGAATTCATCCTATGCATAAGAAGTGGTGGAATGACCTTTTTGTACCTCTTGGTGCATAAGGTAAGAGGTTGAAATACCTCACTCGGTAACCTAGACAGGTCTCGAGACTTAAAAAGACTTCAAGATTAGATAATCTTTGTCTCAATTCTAAAAAAGCTAGATTCTATCCATTAGGATGGACTCGATTAGACCCAAACTATTTTTATAAGGTTGTTCTATTCTAACCTTTGTATTGGCAAGTTATCATTTAAACAAATCATGATAAAAAATGATATTGAGGATTGTAGGATTAGATCATAATGGGCCTAGAGAACGGAGGCTATTAACCCTCGAATTTTGTCCCCAAGCTGAAAAAAAGACCCACAAGCAACAAGTGCACCATCGAAGATGAGCTCATACAAGATTTAGAAACCACGTAGCTCCTGTCGCCTCAAGTATAAGTCCGAATTACGAAAAGTAGAATAGAAATCTATCCGTAATGTAAATGTTATATGCATTATAATATAGTCTAAGTAGTGATAACATATGATTATTATAATATAAGCGAGATGTATTATTTTTATCCTTTAGTGAAAAATGGCTCTAAGGCATATTTAAAATGTGGTAGAAGTCTAAATTTCAAATTTTATCACAAGATGACATTGTTGAAGTCAATGTCTTTATTTTCTATGTACACCCAAAAACAAAACTTGATACCACTTTTAAATGAAGAATAAATGAGTAGGGTAAGCTTACGGATGAGCTTGGTGTAGGATAGGGTTGGGTTTTGAACAAAGAAATGCATAATAGTGTTCCTTCCTTCAAAACCTTCTCTACCTTTAAGATATGGATATTGTTTGAATTTCTTCTAGGTATCAATCTCTCTTCGTCTCCTTTTTCTTCGATTCTTCGGGTTTCTTTAGAATGCTAGAATTTAACATTATTAGAAATTTTGAAGCTAAGACTTTCTCTCTTTCAAACCTAAAACTTTGCCTCTTGAAACCCAAAATTCTCTTATACTGGCCTAGAATCCTTATGGCTTTATTTATACTCAATTTCCTTCTTTCTTAGCCTTATGATCCTCCTTAATCCATCTTGACCCTTCCTATTAAAACCAAACAACCACGGATATGCTTTCAATTTTGTTATTATACTCAACGTATTTTTGAGATAAAATTAAAAGAGGGAGGATAATGTATAAAATATGTGTGTGTAGTTTTTTTGGTGTAGGTGTTTTGGTAGAATTATATAGATGTTGAAGCATGATTGTTGACTAGTACAATTATCAATCGGGAATGGGTTATTTTGGGTTTGTCTTCTCTGTAGCGGACGATGAATGATTTTGGAGGGAAGGAGGGTGATTAAGAGTTGTAATGAATGATAAATTGTTTGAAAAAACTTTTAATTGGTTTTGTCGTTCATTTCTCCTTCTAGTCATCATCCTCATGAATTTTGATTTCTCTTCAATTATAACCCCTAGGCATGTTATTATGGTCCTTGGGTCAATCGAATCCTAACAATCATATCGTTTGCAACCCTTAATTTCAATTTTGGTTCTTTTAATTCATTTAAGCTGCGCTTATGTGTCTCTTGATTCCAGTTTCGTTTCTTTCAATTGCACCTACGGTGTCCTTTGATTTCAATTTATGTTCTCTCAATTTGTGCAATTACACCTTTAGTTATATTTTCTAACAATTAAACATTTTTTTTGTATTTTTTCTCTTTTTCATATTTTCATTTCTTTGCAAAAATAAAAAGAAATTGGCCTAATTTTTATGTTTTCATTTTTCTCTTTTTTTATTATTGATTTTTCTTTTATAAAATGAAGATAAATTATACTAAAATTTAAAAACTTAGATAAAGCCAACACTACTATTGCTGCTAATAATAATAATAATAAGGGTAACAATAATAATAATAATAATAAATATAAAAATAAATGTGCACATGTAAAACAAAATTTGTAAAATAAAAAAATTATGGAATAAATAAATAAATAAAGATAAAAGATAAGTCAAATTTTGGTTATGATAGAGGAAGTACTATCCTTAAAGTCCCGAGTATTAGAAGATTGAGAACTTTCTTACGTCAAAAAACAACCTTGCACTTCTTCTTTTCTATCTTAGAAGGATGGAAAGTATGAGTCGGAACTAAACTATAGGCCTTACAAATCTTAAGGGATGACTTGGGATCTCAAACACTAGTAGCAAGAGTAGTTTCTAAAGAGGGACAATTAGAAGGAACATATTAGAAGTGATGCTTTAATTGTAAGGTCACCCCGGATAAAGATTAGAGTGTGGAAGTACATTGTGAGATTTGGAAGGAGATTTGTTGGTAGAAGCCGGAGAGAACAAATAGTTAATGAATCAACTGATTGAAAAACAAAAGAAGCAAAAAGAATGAAACCCTAGAATTGGGAAAAAGATCACAAAAAGAGTTTGAATTAAAGAGCGATTCAATAATGGAAGGGCAATTGAAATTTCCCCTATACTTAAACACTATAATTAAAGATATGACCATTGTAGGGTAAAAAGACATACTAGTTTCAGCATTCATTGTAACATTTGAAATTAGAGAGAGATGAATGGACGCTAAAGTAATTATTTCTTTTCACACATGAGAATTGATTTCACATGTAAAAAGAAGAAGGAAGATATTATACCCAAATTTAATTAGGACCTACCAACCTAATTAACTTGGCTAGGGCCCAATGATGATTCGGTCGTAAAGTCTTGAAAGCTATTATTACACCCTAAGTCTAATCTACTTGGATAAAATTTAGACAAGCCTACACAAGGAAAAAAGCCCAAAAAGAGTTTGTACAAATCGAAAGACTTAGTATAACTCTTGACAAAATGACAACGTAAGCAAAATGATGTGGGAAGACAAATCCTCTATGTGCAACAATAGGTTAGTAGAACTAAGTAATTAGAACAAAAAATAAAAAAGGACGTGATATGTTGCAATGAACGAGTGAGAATGCTAGAGAAAATGGAACGTTGCGGCATGGAGCATTGCAATCTAAGAAGGAAGTTATTTGTTTAAGAACATACCCGATATAGAAGAATGTAGAATATTGGAAGGGCTATAAATATTAGTTACGGTCTCGAGAACAAAAACACACAACAAACAACATAATCAACTACAATGCAACACTCTTGCAAATTATCGGCTTTACCTTTCGAGTTCAAACAATCGAAACAGGATCGGCTATAGATTGTAAATAGTAATCAAGTAGGTTGATAGATCGGTTTTGGTTCGATTTTCATTTTCATTGCGGTACACGTAGATCCTGTCTCTCGATTTTTGGAGTTTGTTTAGCAGTTTCAACATTTGTGAGTTTTTATGCTTTTGCTTCCAAAGTTAGTGTTATTTATGTTTTGAAGATCAACATTATTTGTAAAGACTTTTAATTTAGTATTTACAAATTCTTATTTTCGTTCAACTTTGCATTCTATAGTTATAAACTTGCTAAAGTTAGTTATTGTGAGTTAATTTACATTTTGAATAAAGATACTATTTTTATTAATATCTTCATATCTAGTTAAGTTTATTTACTTAGTTATTTTAGTCATCTAATTGAGAGTATGAAAAATAAACTATCCTACAAACTACCTTCCAACCAAATTATAAAAACCTTTTTGGTTTCAAAGTCTTCTTAATTGAGGCCACTATAAAAGAATCCACAACATTTACTAAGACCTCAGCTTCTATCTCCACTTGAATATTACGAGTAAAAAAAAAAAAAAAAAAACTTCAAACAATTTTGCTTTATGATCTTAGATTTTCTGGCTTCAATTTTGGTTTGCGATCCCAGACTCACGTTTCAAATCTCTTCTAGTCAGTGAGAGTGAATGGGACAGGGAAGAGAGAGTGAGAGAAGAAATGTGTGGAGCTAGCATGTGGGTGGGCTTTATTTATAGAAAGGGCATTTTAGTGTTTTTAGTTTTTAATTGATGTAAATTTCAAATTTTAAATAAGTTAAATGTAATATATGAAAAACTCGACGTATAAAATGTTATGGCTTTTAAAACATAGAATGTATAACGAAATTTATCTTAATAATATTTGATTTCCAGAATTTATGGAATTTTTTTTTTTTGTCTAATTGTTATATTTCCAAGATAACACTTTCCGTTAGTTAGTTCGATGATCGTTTCATGCCAGTAAATTTTCTGACCTTCGTTAATTATATTGAACATTAGTTAACCGTCGGTCCGAGAAGTAGAGTTTATAGAGTCCTTTATTCCTTTATTATTTAAGGGACATAACGAGTAAACCAGACTCCAAGTCGGGCCTAGGCCTAGCACAACAAAGGCCAAACCACAAACAGCTGAAAGACGACGAAACCAGAGTTCCAGGACGCTGAAAAACACACAACAAATCCCATTATTACTATCAGAATCACTGCGATCAGGCAGATGCAAGAATGGCTTCTCTGCGACCCCTAAAGAAGGCAACCATCCAATCCCAATCTGGAAGGTTTTCTTTAATTGTAGGTACTTGCTTCAAATTTTTAATCCACGCATGCAGGCGAGGAAACTTATGGGTTTCAAATATTACTCTTACCCCCACTGCTTCTTCAATGGCTTCCAACCAGTAAATAACTGAACCAAAGGCTATGTCTGCTATCCCTATATTGTCTCCACCAAAAAATTTCTTCTCCCCTAACCCGTGTTCTTCTACGGTTTGCAACATTTCCTCTGTTTCCTTCATTGTCTTCTCAAGCTCTTCACCTTTAGCACGAAACATTCTCCACACTGAGACACCCTGCAGCCAGAATAATTAATCATGACATTAATTAATAGAAATTAAATGAAGAAAAAAATAAGCTTAAAAAGTTTGGTTTTGCAGTTATGTACGAAAAATGTATAGTAATGTCTCTGTACCTTATCTTCGGCAAATTTGACCCAGAAACGAGCCAGAGCTCTCTCGTATGGATCATGGGGCAGCAAGGAATTTTGCTGCCACACCTCATCGATGTATTCGACAATAATCATGGACTCGCAAACTGGTTTACCGCCATGGAGAAGAACTGGGATCTTCTTGTGAACAGGGTTGTACTTTAGAAGCAGAGGACTTTTATTGGTGAGATCTTCTTGTATGAACTCATATGGGATGCCCTTTATTTTTAGTGCCCATATCACGCGGTAAAGAAATGGGCTAGGCAATGTTCCAATCAGCTTCACTTCAGCCATGACTAAGAGGTTTGTATTGTGTAACTCTTCACCATCCCATAGTCATTTATAGTGTTAGTTCAATCGAATAGTCTTGCTTGGGCAGCAAACTTTGCCTTTGAACTTTGTGTTCTTTCGGTTCGTGTTTTGTGTGAACGGGTCAAAAAGAGATTGTTTTTTTTATGTATTTGCTTACATATTCATATTCATGAACAAAGATATTTACACAATCTATTGACCAAATCAGAGATTGAAGAGGCTAAAACATGATCTAATTAAATATATTCTTTTACCTCTCTCTCTCTTTTTTTTTTAAAAAAAAAATTTATGCTCAAGTTTGATCACGTTTTACGTTTAATTATATATATATATATATATGAGAGAAAAAAGTGTCAACCAAACATTTCAATCCAAAAACTTAAAATTTTAAATGAGATTTGAGGAATAGTTTTATATTATGTGAATCAACTATCTCAATTTAAAAATTTAAATTTTTAGGTGAAATGCTAAAAATAAATTTATATTACTTCTAACACATCTCTCAAGTGAAAAATTTTTAAACTTAAAATTTATACAGATCTATACTTGTTTTGTCTTTAATTAATTAAAAGATAAATTAATAAGATAATGAGACTAGAACTCGTAATAATTTGACCATCAAAACTATATCATGTTAACCAATCATCTTAATAAAAAAAATAAATTTTTAAATAAATTTTTAAGAATAATTTTATATTACTGTAAAAAAAAAGTTTGAACTTTCCTCACCCTTGTCCGTTTTCTTTTTCCTTCTAATTAATTATGTGTCGAAAGGACTTTCACCATGAAGAAATTAACATGTTCAGGAGTGATGTGTCGCTTTTTCTACAGAAGTTTCTCAACTGTTGACTATATATAACATCTTCTGGACTTTGCTGAATGATAAACGTCATGCATGATGGTATCAATACTAATGCATTTTGCCATGCATCTTGACAGCCAAGAAAGGTGAATCAAACTGGTTTACTAAAACAAGGTATACTTTTCCTTGTGTCCGTGTAACATTAATTCGTGATCCCGTGGTTTTCGTATAGCACGAACTACCTGATTGCCTACGTTACGCTCTAAATCTGATAAATTAAAATTATTTTAAAAATTTAAAATTATTTAATTATAATATTTTATTTAATTAATTTTTTTAAACATTTTTCATAAATTTTTTGTTTTAAAAAAACAGAAGCCATTCTTCTTTATGAATTGATTTTAAAATAAAAATTAAATAATTTTAACTAAAATATTAATCAATAATTAAAAAACTTGAAAAAAACATTTTTCATAATATTGTATTTAAAAAAAATTATAACTAATGGATAGAAATGAAAAAAATTCTTATTTAATGCTGATAAGAAGATTAATTTTTGAAATTATCCGAATATCGCTACGGACGGATAGAACAAAATCATTTCAAAATATATATGTAACTATCATTTAAAAATTCTATGAATTCATGATATATCTTATACCAATTTATTTTTTGAAAAAGAAAAAACAATCATATTTTAAAATTTTATTCTAAAATTGAAACATAGAGAAAAATAAATTATATTTATCAATTAATAAAATTTTATATAAAAATATAAATTAGATGAGAACTTCGTAAAAAATAATAAATTCAAAGAATGAAATTTAAATAATAAGAGTAACATAAGTTGAAATATATGTTAATTTTAAAATATAATATTTATATGCTATATGGAAATGAAAGAAAATGAAAGTCTGCGGATTGAAAAAAATGTTACGAGCATAAGGGAGGAAAATAGGAAAAAGTATTAAATTTGCATATTAATGCTCAAAAACACATTAAAAAAAAACCACACACAAAAATAACTTAAATTAACATCAAATAAATAGTAATTTTATGCATATGAAGAGTAAGTGAATAGAAATTTTAAGCATATAAACAATTCGAATTTCGACGCTACGCTGTAGACTCGATCTAAACATATTTATTTCGGTTTGATAACATATACTATATTATTAGTTAATTAAAATACACATTAAATTAAATATAAAAAGATAAAATTTCATGTAATTTTATAATTTTTAATATATATATATATATATATTATGTTTTGAATAAATTTTGAAGTAAAAAAATATGATTTGTTTTTTCTTATGCATTTATTCTTAAATAAAAACCCATAATAAATAAATTTTAATATAAATTTAAAAAATATCTTAATATTTTTTTCATAACATTACATCGAAGAAATAAAATAATAATTAATATAAAAACATGCATGAAAATTAATAAATGAAGCTTTTTTACTAATGAGAAGAGAAAATTATTTTTTAAACATGTACATTTGATTTATATATATTTATTTACAAAATAATGAATAATATTAGTATACAAAATTGCATTTGAATTATTAGACTGCTATTCTAAAATATTATTTCAATTATTTTATTTGAGAAAATTAAATTTAAAATATTAAAAGAATAATAGCAAATAGTTGGTATTGTGTTTAGATGCATAGTTAATTTTTAATAAATTCAATGACTCTAATATTATTATTTTTTATATATCATGACCGTACTTGATGGGTGAGAATATATAGCATAAATTATAAAATATTTAAAAAATTAAATTATAAAATATGTATTGAAGCTAATAGAGTGCAATAAAAAATATAAAATTGATTTTGATAAAATTTGATTATATAAAGAATAAAAAAATAAAATGCATATATATTTTATTTTTAAATTTTGATTATAGAATAATTAAGCAAATAAAAACAAGTATAAAAAAACTTATTCAAATCCATACATAGAGAAAATAAATCATATTTATTAATAAATAAAATCATATAAAAATAAGAATAAAAATTAACTTGATGTGAATTTTTATAATAAATTAAAGATATTAATTTTAAACAATAAGAGTAGTATATATTTATTCTAAAATTTAAAAATATATCTTACGTATTATATAATCGTCGGTTTATGTGGAATAAGGGTAGCACATATTTATTCTAAAATCTAAAAATATATCGTATATATTATATAATCGTTAGTTTATGTAAAGATAAATAACGATTGATTTTTTAAAATTTTAACACCTAGTTAAATAAAAAATGAACATAAATTCATGAAAAAAAAATCAAAGGAAAAAAAAATTTATAGTGCATCAGTTAGATTCTTCAGTATGCATTAAACGTTTTTTCATCTTCTTTAATAAAAAGCCAATAAAAAACTAATCCAATAATACCTGTCACATATTCCTCTAGTATTATCTCCAGTAAATCGAAAAAATGGATGGTAAGAATTCAAGCAAATCATCAACACTTGCTTTTTGCGCTATTTTTTTTTATTTTTAATTTAATGGTATGAAATTTGTTTTGCTAATAAAAAATTGAAATAACTTGGCTCAAAGTTATTATAAGTCTTAAAAAATCATCTCAATTTTAAATTTTAAATTGTTGAATGCATCTTATAAATAATTTTATTTTATTCTCTAGTATTCTTTTTTAAATAATATTAAAAAATCATTTTCATTTAAAAATTTAAATTATTAAATAGGATTTTAAAAATAATTTTATATTATTTTCTGATTGTAATAAACTGGTAATTACCAAAAAATAAAAAATAAAAAACTTTCTGATACTGCTGAAAGTGCTTGCATTTTAATAAGAATTTGGTAAATAAATGTTTGCCTACACGTCAAACAATGTGTCTCCTTACGTTTTATATACTGAGAAAAGAAAGAGAAAGTTCGTTGATTACACAAAAAAAAAAAAAAAAAAAAGCATCAGAATAAGTACAACCTGCTCATTGTGCATGTTTTTTTTGGTTAGTTTCAGTTGAAATGTGATTGTCCAGAAAATTATTACCAAAATCCAATTCTTTTTCGCTAATGTATCACCAACCACAGCTGCACAACTACACCTATCAAATTACGTCGAAGTGTTTTCTCAATTTATTCTTTTAGATTTTTTTTTAATGGATTTGAGATACTATGGTATCAAAATTATTGAAACACACTTTAAAATTTTGAGTTATAAATTCTTATTTCATGTGAAAGTTTTTTCAAAAAACAATTCCAATTGGATAATCATTCACATAATAAATAAGATGTAGTAAGTATATCCATCTATAATTTTAAAAAAATTCAAATATTTAATTTATTTTTCTGATCATTTTTTTCACTTATAAGGAATTTTTTTAAATGAAATATCTTCTATTGAAATGTAAAAAATAAAATTAAAAAAATTTAAATACTTCAAAAAAACATGCAAGTTATGTGCTTTTAAGTTTTTTTTTTTTTTTTTTTACATTTTAGTAAAAAGTATTTCGATAAAAAAAATTATTTATAATAGAAAAAATTGATCAAAAAATAGATTGAATATTTCAAAAAATTTAAATACATATAAAATGCAACTGTAAACTTAAAAAAAAATAAAAAAAAACTTTGAATATCATATAAAAATAAATAAGTATATTTACTCAAAAATAATCTATAATTCAAATAAAAAGTAAGTGCGTCGCTGATGATCTACTATGATCTCTCTGCATTTCCTTCTCTATTCTAGTTAGTGTCCATCGTGACATTGCCAAAAAAAGCCAAAAAAAAGGAGGAAGGAAAAGCTGTTTGGCTTTGTAAATGTTTTTCAGCAGTGGGAACAACGAAAACAATGTGCAGATGATGCGATAGTCAATTTCTTTGAACGAAAAGTTGAGGCAACTTGATAAAAAAAAAAAAAAATTGCAAAAAATTACAAAAATACCATATTGTGAATAGTGATTTAAGACGAATTAACAATAATAAACAATATTTATTATTCATTTGCCCCATATTTTTTAGTTTTATTAGTAATCTTTTGAGGGATATGGAATGTGCTCTTTAGTTAAGTTGTTCCCTTTTTTTTTTATGAATTAAACTATAATATTTCAATTTAAATTTAATAAACATAACGGAAAAATTGTTATAAAGTTCTATTTGAAAGAGAGAGGAATATACAATCCTTTTTGGAAAAAGTCAA